TGGACACGAAGTGTTGAGGTAATGCGTACTATTCTAGAAACAGTGTGTGAACCACGCTTCCTGAAATGTTCCAACTCTGGAGAGCCTGGCTATTCGCAACATACTTGTATGAAACAGATACGCCGAGATTTTCGAGGGGCGGCTGTCTGGTACATAGAAGGTGATCGATTGTCCACGAAAGAGTAGTAATTCAGGATTCCGAGTATTCTCTGATTGTAGAATCTTAATATGTCAGCATGATCCATGGGGACTATTCCACGTTTTGCCGTGGGTATAAAGTCTCCTTTCAAAAATCCCTGTTCTCGCAGTGTACTTAACAGTTTCCTGATGGGTGCATGCAACACCAATCTTTTCCTTCTTTCGTACCTCGGAGAAGTCCGGAGATACGTGACACAGAGTTTCTCTGCGGATCTTGGAAATAAAAGAAGTTGGGTTTAGGGTTCCCCGATTTGTCACAAAAACCTAAAGCTGCCAGGCGGTGAATCACTTTCCGCATATCAACGAGTAAAGTGACGTGACCTGCTCGTTGAACGCGTACAATTCGACTTTTCCCATTGTATGTTCGTCGATATTCGAAGGCCACGAAGTGGGAGATGCTGGACACGAAAGCAAGACGCAAAGAAGTGGGCGTCCGGTCTCCTTCCTGTATTTATTATGGAGTAAATCAACCAAGGGTAGCGTTGCCGAAATGCGCGTGGAAAAGCACTTGGTCAAACCGAGCAACAGGAGGCTCGCACCTCCGAGGCCGGCTCGGGAGATAAAAGTCGGAACGAATGAGGATAACGAACTCGATTATGTAGTGGCTGAACGACATGATTCTCTAAGTCAGCGAGTAATGGCTTGGACTCTTAGGAATGGTTCTGGTGGTGCATATAACATCAGAGCGATACAGGCAATCCCTAACGCGCCTTCGTGCATACGAGCACTCTTTGCTCACTTGACGATTCGCGGATCTAGATTCGATTCCAAGCCGCGCATTGATACGGTCAAGGCGCAGTCCAGGTTCATGTGCAGAGAAGTAAGAGCAATGATGACCGCAAGCCTGCCCCTCAATTGGCTTCCTTGTTTGATTGGATTGCCCCTTCTCCTCGCACACATTCTTCTGCCAGTAACGCGACTCTCTTCTCTCTCTCCTCGAAGCATGCGCGAGAAGCCTTCCTATTCGTCCCAGCTCTCCCATTTTTAGTATCCACCTCCTGTACGTGCGCTTGACAATAAATCTAAACTACGGGTTTTGCTCAACATCCTACCCAGTAATTGATTGATCAATCAAGCAGTCAATCCTTTCAATCAATCAATCAATCAATCAGTCCCATTGACCAGTCGACCCCATGAATCAAACAGTCGATCTCATTAATCAATCGATCAATCAGTCTGAAGCACCCGGCTCATCACATCCAATAATTAGTCGATCAATCGACCTCAATCATAGGGTTCAAGTCCAAGGCTCATTTGCCTTGTAGCGTGGCACTGATTTGAACTTACCGCTTTCGAATCCATAAAGTGTCATCTGTTGTCGAACATTCGCTGACAGGAATCTTCAGGCAGTCGATTAATATGATCTGTGCGGATTCTCGCACTCCCATCCTTCCAATCAGTGTAACAAATCCGCTCGTTAATCCACGTGCGAATCCTGTTGATTTTCCTTATTTTCATACGCAATTTGTTCGAGCCGTTGCGCTAGTGATCAGACTGAGTGCGCAGTTGATCAGATCTTGTGCGCCCCTCATCTGAGTTCGCGTGCAACCGATCAGAGCGTGTACGTTTCAGATTCGGGCCCATATCTCTTTGATAAGAGCTTATGCGCTGCTTCGTGCTCCCTGTGCCGATTTCAAGAAGGAGCTTGTTGATTGGCTTCTTGAGCACGAGGATTGTGCCCCATCAGTGCACGATTATACCCGTTCGCTGGTCCGTACGCAACCGCAGGGCGTTCCAAACGCTCCTTGACCCGCGTACACCCGTGCCTTCGTGAGCTAGCCCTCCGCGGGCTAGCCAGTACGCTAGTTCTCCTTGTGCGCAAGTCGGAAATCACCTCCAAGAACGGGCCCAGTCCAGCTTGTATACTTTGTTGGGCCCAACAACATCAATCATCGGTACCGTGACCAGTGAGAGTCGAGCGTGTTGTCGAGAGGATTGCAGCGCCCCGGTACCCGGCCTAGTCTCGAGCCAATGCCCGAGCCTATTTCGCCCTCAGAACAGGCATAAGTGCGACGAAACACGCCACGCTGTCAGGAACTCGCAGCGGTCTTGCACCGAGCCTGCGCCGAGCCTAGAATTAAAGGTCCCTTGGCCATCCGATCCATCTTCGCTTTTCTTCGGTCGAGCCTCTGGTGTAACCATTACCATTGGTCCCTCTTCAGTCTACGGCTGCGTACTCACGTACAAGCACGACCTCTTTTCCAATAAAATGCGACTGAGCTCGATTTCCTCTCTTTCCCGTTTTCCTTCGATTACCGGACAACCTTTCGCAGAGTCGTTGAGTGTCCTCCTTTTAAATACGTGTCTCACCTTTGTCATGCCGGATCCGGGACGTTGCGTGGTTCCGACTTCGAATAATAAATTTCTCTTCTTTGCTCAAATCACGGACTTCGGTGCTGATGAATCCACTCAAAAACTGAATTTAGTCCTCAGTCCTCGTTTTTTTCCAGAGGAAGTAAAGGGCGGCGTAAGGCTCGAGCCGTCCGACACCGGGACATAAGGACATGCCTGACTTTGATCCACTCACTCGGGACAGGATCGTGGATTGGCAGCCGCGAGGGGGCAAGGGACAAGTACCTGCAACGGAGGGTCCGAGGGCGGAGGGTTTTTTAAAGAGGAAGGAAGGAGGACCTGATCCAACTGTCACCCAAGCTGGAAAGAGGTTGTGCTAGCAGAATATTTCAGAGGTCTATGGTGGCGAGTGGGTTGCTCGCCACAAGAAGGCCTCCCTTCACTGGCTTTATTCCAGCGAGGTCTTCTTCAATGCCTTTCACAACGAGGCATGGAAGGCATAAGTCCAGGTGCTTCTTCAGCAGCCTGGCAGTTCGCCCCGTGCTATGCTCCCCAGCCATAGTGAGATTGCGAGCATGTAGGTGATGGAGACCCACCGTGCGGAGTTGGGAGAGGAACAGGAGGAGGTGAGGCAACCATTCTAGGTGAACGGTTCCACCATCCTCTCCGAAGGGAGGAAATCATGAGATGGGAAACCGATCGTGAATTTCCTTGCCGCAGGCTCGCGAGGTGTCATCATGTACATGACGATCAATCGCGAGGGGGAGCCGGACAGTGCAGAGCACATCCTTCAGAGATGGGTCACCATCTTCCACGACTTCACGTTCGGTGGGCCCCAGCGGGTCAATGTGATATGCACTAACTCCGTTTCAACGCACGTGGGGGTTGCAAGGGCGATGGCCTTAACGACCATGCCTTTTGCACTGAGGAGGATCACTTGGCTCCCATGCTCCGTCCATGTCTGCAACAAATTGTTATCAGACTTGGGGATGAGTTCCGACGCATTTGTGGACACGATCACATGTGCTCGTGTGCTGGTAGTGTTTTTCAAAACCCACCAGGCCGCCCTTAATTTTTTTAGGAAGCGCAACCTTAACATGGGGATTGTTCTTTTCTGCGAGATGTGGTTCGCATCTTTTTATTCATGCTGGACAGGCTTCTGGGTCTGCAGGACACTTTACATGGCATGATGTGAGGGGACGATTCACGAGCTTTTGCTTCCATCCCGTGGTCCGCCGACGTATGCTACATGGCGCATTGGGTACACCGACAAACCAGATGGGATCCTTGGTGGCAGAGGTGGCCACCATCGTCCATATCATGGAGCCCGTCATGTACTGCTTAGGCGGATGGATCATGGAGGGCAATTCATGTCGCTTGTGGTCGAGTGGTCACAGGATCTTGTCCACCGTGTGAAGGACGCATGTGGTCCTTTGGGTCTGTTCTTCATGGACCGGATCATCAAACGTACGCGGGTCCGCACACAACACATGCTTGAGCCGGCTCACTGTGCAGGTTTGGCTTATGAGGCAAGGTGGCGGAGTACCATGCTTGGCTTATGAGGCAAGCCAAGAGGTACATTTTGACGCAGACTGGTTTCGAGTTGGACGGTGAAGATAACATCGTTGCCTGTCGACAGTTTGAGGACTTCTACATGCATCAGAGCAGGTTTGGTGATTGGGGCGGGGCTGAGGGGCATGCTCGTGGGCGAGCGTGTAGCGGTGACGCCGAGACGATCGAGTGCGCATCTTGGTGCTCCCAGTTCGGGGCTAGCACGCCTGAGTTGCAGCGGTGCGCTCTTCGTGTGATGCACATGTGGTCCTGCGCCTCTCCCGTGGAAAGGAACTGGGCAGTCCACGAGGGCATCCACACGAAGAAGTGCAACAGGTTGGCCTTCGAGAAGGTCGTGCAACTCGTTGAGATCACCGCAAATGTGCGGTTGACAGAGTATCGGCGGGTAGGATGCCGTTATGTGCTGCCATGGCAGCGGGAGGAGGGCATGCTCGGCTGCCAGGCAGGACTCGAGGTGGAGCTGGTGCGCACAGGCAACCGCAAGGGGATGACAGAGCAGAAGATTGCCCAGCAAGTTGCACTTATAGCGCGTGATCCCATCGAGACTTCCGCACCGCCCTCTGGAGATGCTGTTTGTGAGAGACGTGCTTGTATTTTCCGTCCCTACCCCGGGGACGATGACTCGGATGACGAACGGGCACCCGAGGCAGCAGATGACCCCACGCTCCCCATTCCCCATGAGATCGATGAGACGCACGACGATGCCAACGACGCGGAGACGAGGACATACACCGCACGACGTGCGGCGGACCGGGCGGAGAGGGAGATGATGGGGGGAGGCGAGGATTGTTGGGGCCCTTTCGGGGAGGTGGCTTTTATGCGTCATGTGCACGATAACAGAGTCTGGGGGTCTCATGTAGGCACGAGCCGCACATAGGCGCAAATTACGACTCCTACTCCGACAAGGCGAGAGTCGTCCATGCCACCACCTCGTGCTTTGAGTCCTGCACCACCGTCGCCCGTCTCGCCACTTTAGCCGGCTACGGCAGCGGCGGATACGGAGGAGTTGCATCCTCCTTGCCTCAGCACGGACTTCTGCAGAGATTTGCGGTGGTCTGCCGGTTGAGGTTAAGATCACGTTCCCCGAGGGTCTTGCAGGAGGACGGTGGCCACCGTGCCACCTTGGCGGACAAGGGGGGGGTAAGCCCGAGTGGAGGAGGAGGTAGCAGCAGTGGCAACAATGAAGGGGGAGGTAGCAGTAGCAGCAGTGGAGGAGGAGGTGCTAGCAACAATGGCAGTGGAGGGGGAGGTAGCAGCAGTGGAGGAGGAGGTAGCGGCAGCGGCAGCGGTGCCGGATGTTGCTATGGAGCATGATGGTGCGGACGCCACTAAGGGCAGTGAGGACCATACAGCTGTTTATCAGGGAAGAGCTTGATCTGGTCGTGGGGGGTTTCACCCCTGGTGTGGCGAGGGGGTTGGGGATGTCTCCTCCCACAGGGTGGTCAGGTTAAGAGATAGGGACCCACTTCGACTTTGACATGTCGATGGACGCTCTCCCTAGTTGTGGCGGGGTGGCATCGACGGATCGAGCGGCATCAAGGGACGAGGCGGCAGGCGAGATGGGGACGTAAACCCTGAGAGAGAGAACAATGGCGGAGTCTCGAGATACGGCAGGCGACATCATGGAGTGAGAGAGGGATCGACTGATGGAATCGAGTGACCCGTGTGCTCATGCGTTCGCACGGGCCTTGGAGGAGTGTAGGCGTCGAGAGACAGGGAGAGATAGTGGGCAGGGTGGGGTAGTGGCGGGGTAGGACGCTATGGAGGTCATGACACCAGAGGCAGAGGAGGCTATGGAGGGTGGGCCACAGTCGATGGATGAGGCTATGGAGGATGGACAGGTGCGAGACGCGGGGCCTAACAATGCACCACCGGTAGTTCATGAGACAGAGAGTGGTTCAGTCGTCCCGTTCTCGGGCCTGCGCTTGGCAAAGGCCGACGATCTTAGCTGGCTAAGATGGCAGTGCATGACGTGTTACCTGTCAAGGATTTGGAGTCTGAGCTGATGGTTGTGTCTCCACCTCCTCGGCAACCAGCTCCGCAGGAGGTCGATCGTCCATTCGATGCAGAGGAGTTGGTGGCGACCGTTGTGTGCGATGTGACTCGACTGGAACGGTGGATATTTGACCCGAAACTCAAGCATCCCCTGTAGCAGAGGATCCCTTCGGTTCCATGGGGTCCTATGTCGCCGGTGTGGTCCGGATCTACCTCGAGCGGAGGACGTAGCAGGGCAGATGTTCCAAGGGTTTCCGAGGGCCTGCAGGAGAGAGCGCCAACTATGGCAGACATACCACCCCCTCCTCCTAGAGGACGTGAGGATGATCCATCGTCGTCGCCCACAGACTGAGGATCTCCATTTCCACACATGCCCGAGAGATCGAGGATTCGTGACACGACAGCGGTTAGGCGGGATGTGCACGACACGACGTTATTCAGGAGGACGGACATAGATTTCGATCCCACCCCCTGTGTCACGGAGCTCATTGCACACCTTTTGTCGGGTTTCGCAGCACCAGAACGACCGCAACGAGGGAGGTTGCAGCAAAAGGTTGTGAGCCCCAACGAGGTCGCGGCAGAGGACCACGCTTTGAGAGCAATGTCGCGTGTTGTGCATGAGCAGACTCCTCGCAAGCGTGCCTCGTCCATGGCCTGTGCCTGCAGAGGGAGGCGCTACACTTGGAGAGTCTTTGGGGGCAGAGGGATTGGGGATGTCTCCTGGATCCTGTCGTCAGGAGACAGTAACTGGCCTGTACGAGGGTTGTTCGGGTGAGGAAGGGAGGCGGCCCTGTCACCATCGAGGAGGACGATCCCGAGACAACGCCGCTAGTGCGGGAGGAGGACAAGGAGTACGAGGGCGAGGATGAGAGTGAGGAGAAGGAGAGCAAGACAGATGACAGTGGAGAGTCTGGCGACGACGACAACGACGCCGATGAGCCCCCACCTCCTCCGCCGACAGATGCTTCGAGACGCGCCGCTACAAAGACGTTTGCGCAGCCACGAGGGAGGGGGAGGACGACATCCGGTACTGCAGGGGGTACGAGGAGGCAGGGAGGAAAGGGGAGGAAGGGTCAATGACTATGAGGCCAGCACTCCCCTTTCCTCTCCTTGCACTCGACTTCGTCCTATTCTGTGCTCCTCTTTTTTTGGTCGTGCTATATTATCTTAGTATTGTCAGGTAGTCACTGGTAGTGTGTGTGCTGCAGTTGTTGTTGTTTTCTTCGTTTTTTGTTTTGTTTTTTCAGGTATGAGTCGGCACCGTTGGCGCGACTTGTAGAGTACTGTTTTCTATTAGACAGTACGTGCCATTAGTAGGATACATTGTATTATGTTACATTTTCCATGTGTGATTTCAACGACTGGTACTTGACGACTTTTCATGTCCATTACATTTTCTACGTATGATTTTAGTTACGAGTGTTGCACGACGTTTTATGTCCATTTTTGCCAGCATGTAAATTTATATTTGTAATTGTTGTTTACATTTTTAATTTCATTTATTTCATTTGTTTCTTTGTTTTTTTTGTGTGTAGAGTTGGGTGATTGGCACTGATTGGATTTTTTTTTTTCCTTTGAAAATTGTTGAATTTATTTATATAGACTTATATACTAACTTTTGTTGTTCGACCATGTCCCATGTCCACGCATACCCCTTCTTTGTCAAACATAGGCAAGTGTGAAGTTTCACTTGCAGGTGCAACATTTCATTGTTAGAAAGGCATGCCATCATCAAAGTATTCTGCATATATCTTTCTGACAATGACACGTTGCATCTGCAAGTGGAACTTCACACTTACCTATGTTTGACAAAGAAGGGGTATGTGTGGACATGGAGGTGATTTGAGGGGTACTCAGCGGTAAGGAGGGCGGGGAGTGGGGTAGGGTAAAGGGGGGTAACGTTGTCTATTCTCAACGGCATGTGTGGAGATGACCCCCCGTGATAGGGCGGGGGCACTGGGGGGTCGTGGCGCTTGTGGGGGTTTTTATGGGGTTTTGGCAGGTAGGGGCATCATTAAAGGCCGACGGGCGGGGCCATAAGGGATGTAGGGGGGAGGGGGGGGTCAAATTTTATTTTTATTTTTTCCGGTTTGAGTGTTTGGGCACGTAGGACCACGTGTTCGAGGCTCAACGCACCAGTTTCGTTTTTCGGAATTCAACAGGACACCCCTGTTTTTCCGTTAAACGGGATTCAACAAGGGTCCCAGGGCCGGTTTAAGTGTTTGGGCGCGTAGGGCCACGTGTCAGAGGCCCAACGCACCAGTTCCGTTTTTCGGAATTCAATGGGACGCCCCTGTTTTTCCGTTAAACGGGATTCAACAGGGGTCCCGGGGCCGATTCAACCGGTTCAACGACGTTTAACGACGTTCGTTCCCCATTGACCGGACACACAGGGTGCTGTCCTTGCGCAGAAGGAGGGGAAAAAGTTAAGGTCGATCAAGTACATGAGCAAAAAGATGCCACCTCAGAAATTAGTTAAGTCCACGTATGAGCATGAACTCTATGTCCTCTATAGAGCACTAGTCCATTCAAGGGACTACCTCCTAGGTAGATTCTTTTATATGAGATATGACCATGAGATGCTGCGTTGGATTAAGACGCAGCCCGTGCTCTCCAACGCAGTCAAGAGGTGGATTGAAGTCATAGACATGTATGATTTAAAGCTTGACCTCTTAAGGGAGAGTACATCAAAGTAGTTGAAGTACTATCTCGTAGAGCAGACTATCTAGGCGAGCTAGTGACTGAGTTTGAAATTTCTGGCGATGTAAATCGGTCTATGGTGGAAGCCTATCAAGAAGATTCAGTCATGTCTGAGATCATCCGCAAACTGGAAGATAAAGACAAGGCTACTTTCGATGAGTTTGTGCTGGTTTATGGATTGTTGTTCCTTGAGAAGGTTGAGAACAAACGTTTGTGTGTACCGAATAGAGAGTCTTTGTGTAGTTTATTTTGAGTTTTGTGTCACGATGCAACCGATCATTTTGGCTATGAGAAGACAACAACAAATTTAGTGCAACGATTTTGGTGGCCCACACAGATGGACGATGCAAGAAGGTATGTAGAAACTTGCCACGTTTGCCAGCGGGACAAACCACAGACACAGGCACCGCTTGGGCTTATCAATCCCTTGCCTATCCCCGCTGGACCTGGTTAGAGTGTGTCCATGGACGTCATGGGTACGCTTGTAACCAGCAAGAGGGGCAAGAGACACATCTTCATCATTGTGGACAGGCTCAGTAAGTATGCTAGACTTATTGTCATGCCTAAGACAGCTAGGAATTACCATGTCATCAAGCTTTCATGGACAATTAGGTACGTGAATACGGTCTACCTAAGTCTATTGTGAGAGACATGGATATCAGAGATTCACTAGCGAACTGTGGCAAAGTACAGCCCAACAGATGGGCACCCGACTGCAAATGACATTCGGTGACCACCCTTAGTCAAACGAACCGGCGGAGCAGATGAACCAGGTAGTGCAACACTTGCTTCGACATTATATTAAGCCATTGGCAAGTCAAGATGATTGGGCTGAGAAGTTACCTCTCGCCGCCAGCCTGTAAAACAATGTTGTGCACAACACTTAGTCTACCAGTAACATCCCCAACCAGCTGGATCCTGGTTGGAGGCCCAAATCTGCTCTTGACTTCTGTTACCTGAAAATCAGCCACCTGCAGCACCTCGAAGCATAGAGTTTGCTGTCAAGTATGAACAGATGCTGCAGCAAGTTATAGAGCACATCAGGAAAGTTGAAGGTGCCATGGTTGCATCTGAGAGCAAACACAAGCGACAGTTTGTATTTCAGGTAGGTGAACGAGTTTGGGTAAAGTCATCTGAGTTGGGACAAGAGTTGGGAATCTCACGTAAATTACTGCCACAGGCCCACAATACTTTAGAACCTAGGAAATTCTTGATGTAGTGCAAAATCAACCAGATCATCCTACATATGTCATTCGCATCCCTTGTCAACTCCACACACACCCTATTTTCCATGCCTCCAAGTTGGCACCTTTCGCTGAACCTGAGCAGTTTCCCTCAAGAAGATCTATGCTGCCCCCAACCATGGATGGACATGTGAACATCAACCATGGATGACACACGTGCGCCTGTCCTCTCCAAACCACATGCCGCGGGCGATGTCCGTCGCCACGTGGTTGAGGACGTACCCATACGCGGAGTGCTAGCCCCGTGAGTGACTCATGGACTTGAAAATCCACTCATGGATGACCCATAAGGCGATGCTCTGCACTTTGATCACCTTGTTTTTTGCCGCCTTCAGCTGCGACTCATCCTCAATTTTGTGTTGCGGGATGCCGAAGTGAGAGAGGACTATAGTCCGATGGATGTCGGGACGGGGACTCCCCTGGCGACCCAGCAAATACAGTCAAACTTTCTGGATTAGCTTGAAGAGTCCATTGCCCTCCGTCTCATTCCAGAACCTCATGACCTTCAAAACGCCTGTCAGCCGACACTTGAGTGTCGAATGCGACCCTCGAGATTATCAAGGGTCGCGAGGCTACGAGTACTACATAGTACCCCATCAGCGCGAGTGCTTGCGTAGGCCCGCATGGCTGGTTGATATGAGGAGGCCATGCGCTCGCACGACTCTTATACGGAGGTCCAGCGCACAATACCTATCTGATTCTTGCTGCATAAAGTTATGGGTCGGGTACTGAAGGGACTGTGAGTGTTGTGGTGTTGTGATGTTGTTTGTGATGTTTGTTTGTGTGTGTGTCTATGTGTTATGCATGGGTACATGCGAGTGTTGTGGTTTAACGCGTGGTGTGTGAGATGCGTCCTAGTCGACCAGCGCTGAGTCGCATTTGGGACCTCGGCCCCCCAATACGTCGATTCGCGTGCGGGTTCGATTTTTGGGGCGTTCGACCGCGCATACCCCCTATGCTACAGTGAACGAGAAACACCCTCGGCTGGACCACCTCTGCAATTGCATACAAAAAGCCTTCGCATGTGGTTCAGTAGCTCGGCAGGGATACACCTGCCCAAGGGATGGTAACAACTCCCGCAGGTGGAGGTAAAGCGGTGCCTCGCTTGACCCTGTCCTGTCGTAGGGGCTCGCGAGAGGTAAGGCTGGCGCACTCGGCCGGAGCGGCAAAACGCTCATCCGAGACAAGCCCTACCAAATCCTGTGTGACGCGGCCGGGGCGGTCCCCGTGTGGGACCGATGCGCTCGACAACGTCCACCCACAGCTTGGTCGCAGCATTGATCCCCTCTCGTGCATTCCAGCGCCGCTGCGTGTTCACCAAAGGCTCGTCATCCTCGCGGCCCCAACGGCTCTCCATGAGCGCTGCACCCCCCGCCGCTCTCGAAGATCCCACCACTGCACCGCCATGCTTGTCCACCACGTCTTATAGTTGTGTTCCCTGGATGCTCCTTTGCACCGCCACATTCGCATTCCGTCCCCCCTCCAGAGCTGTTTGCCCACGTGGCGTGCCTAGGGTTGATTGGACCCGTCCCGAATGTTGCCACATCGGTGGCGCAGTTACACGTGCCCTCGCGCTGTTCCCCCCCGCGCACGCCGTCTGCGGAGCTACCTTACCTTGCACCTCCCTCAACGCAGCAATGATATCCACATCTATGACAACATCACCCTTGCGAACCTCCTCCCCTCCCCGGGGTTGGGGAGCAGTCTGAGGGCGTGGCCGTTAATTCGCACCCCCCCTTGTGCTCGCACTGACGCTTGTCTGAGAGCGTCCACGTCGTTGTCAGACACGAAGGCATTGTCCTTGCCGGCGACATTAGAATACCTCACCCATTCTTCCTCCCTCACGCCACCTCCCATCGAGGGCCCTCTGCAACAACCTTTCCCTTCTTCACCACATGTCGTTCATTCTTGTGCATCACAGATGTGTCCCCTTCATAATTGTCCCTCTTCTTGCCGTGATTACCGCCATGTGACGACATGGTGAAGATAACGATAACGATAGAAGAGAGTGACAACGGCGTTAACTGCGCGATGGGTTATCCTGCCTTGCTAACGTATCCGGGACTGTGATTGTGTAGAAAAAAACCCGGATCACGTAGTCGATCGGTCGAGAGCTCTAATCAGCGAGCGCACTGATTGCAATGTTGCTGACGTGGAAATCTGCGTGGAATATCAGCGTTGAATTAGCGATGCGAACATAGACGACGACCTCCGATGATGTGCGCACTTGAGAGTTGGCGCCTGAGAAGACGGCGAAGAACGTCAGTGCAACAGACGACAGGCGATCTATGCGGCTCAGACGACAGTTAAGCGACACGAAAGCATA